TAAAAGATGCCATTTCTGTATTTTCATTTTTATATTATGCACTACCTGCATCATTGTTACAAAGATAAAACACAATCACTTGTAAAGAATTTGAGTTTATGGAAACTTAATTTACCAATAACTGGCTTATATGAATAAATATCATTATGGAAAAAATTTCCAACCTGAGAAATATTAAATATCATTACATGATAATTTTGTAATTATTTAATTCTCAAATTAGAATTAATTTTTTTAAAAATCTGAAAAGGAGATGATTGTTTTGCCTTTTCTTTGTAATACAAAGAAAAGTACTAGAATTATAAGAATGATTAAATATAAGAAAAATAAAGCTTTCTTTCTTAAAACTGGGGACAAGAAATTTTAATAACAAACCACTTATGTTTCTGGGTATATTGCCAATAATGAGTGTTGTGTCTATATTATAGAGCAGCACTATTTTCCAGTTTAGTAATACTCAAGACTTTTAAAAATATAATATCATGCTAGAAAATAGAATTTTGGGTTTCAGAACAGTTATCTTTACGTGTCAATTTAACTGAGCTAAAGGATGCCCAGAGACTTGGTACAATCTTATTTCTGGGTGTGTCTGTGCGAATGTTTCTGGAAGAGATTAGCATTTGAATAGGTAGAATAAAGAAGACTGCCCTCACTAAGCTGGGCGGGTATCATCCAATCCATCGAGGGCCTGCATAGAGCAGAGACAGAGCAAGTGGAACCCATCCTCTCTGCCTGAGCTGAAACATCCTTCCCCTGCCCTCCAACGTGCCACTCCTGGTGCTCAGGCCTTCAAACTGGGACTGAATCAAACCACCAGCTCTCTCCTGGTTCTGCAGCTTGCAGATGGCAGATTGTGGGACTTCTCGGCCTCTGTAATTGCATGAGCCAATTCCTATGTGTGTATGTATATGTAGGAATTTATATATCTCCTATTGGTTCTGTTTCTCTGAAGGACACTGACCAATGCAGATTTGGATCTCTTCAACTTTACATTAGCTTGTAGTTTTACTGGTTAGGCTCTATTTTAAGCCTGATTACAAGTACACCACCTTAATCTCTGTACAGATGCCATTTTCATTGACTTGATCATATTCTGGACCAGGAATATGTTCATTAAACATTCATCTGTTATGNTCATCTGTTATGTACATGTCTCTAAATTTTTCTTTTTAGAAGACATAATCCCTGTCTACCTTAACCACCTCCTCCTACAAAGAAAAAAGATACAATAAAGCAATAAGGTCACACATATTAAAACAGTCATGGGGGACATTTTTTAAAGATCACTCTCACCTCACATACTGGTCAGTCCACACTGTAACCCCAAAGACATGGAGCTCAGGTTGTATAATTGTTTATTAAAGAATGGACTACATGTTTTTTATTGATATATAACTGAGATTCCACCTGAACCTTGGTAGAGAAATAATTAGGAATTTCCCAACAAGCATGAAAGGGATTTGCGTTCCAAATTAGGATAAGTGGCTTGAGATCTTGACTATATGTTTTTCGTATTCAGCGAGATCTTATTAGAAGAGTTCCATAAATAGTGCTGAGCTGACAATTTGTTTTATTGGCTCAGAACCTGAACTATGACACTGATAGCCCACATTCTGGTTTCTACCTTCTCTCCAAGTCATTCTTTCTTATTTCTCGCAACCACCCTAATAGCTAAGCATTCCTCCCTCCATTTTTACAGGTAAGGAAACTGAAGTTCTAGAGTGGATAACTAACTTTCTAAGGGTCTGGGAGCAAGTAAGGCAAATGAATAGTCAAATCCAGGTCTTTTATCCCAAATTCCATGCTCTTTCCACTATACAACTGCCACTGCCGCACTGCATAGCTGGAAAGACACTGTTTGAATTATTAAAATATCCTTTGAATTTGAAATCTGGGACACCTTTGGAAACTCAGACATGTCAAGACCTCATCCATTTTCCACCTGAAAATCTGGTCTCCCCCAGAACAGTTTAAAGCCTCTCGATGAGGGGCCATAAGACTCGGTCTCCCCACAGCCCCCAGCAAGGGGTAGGGCAAGCTCCCCAGTAGTGCCCCCCAGGAACAAGCCCTCACTAAGCTGTGGCATCCTTGTCTCAGTCGACCCAGAGCTCCTTTCATTCCCACAGTCCCAACACCAGGACGGGCGGGCTCTGGGCTAGAGACTGACAAAACCATGGTCCGGGGAAGTCAGCAGTCAAGGTGGGCAGTTTTCAATGAAGTGATCCTAAGGAAGAAATCACCAAACACGTGAGATCACAGCGTGGCACCTCCCCAGGCTCTTGCCTCCTGCCCAAATGTCTCCCAGACCTTCTCCATCAGACTCCAACACCTGCTCTGGGTAGAAACCACAGTCCAGACAACTGGGGACAGTTTTATTTCCCAATTCTATTCGAACAGTGTATTTATTCAAAAACTATTTTTCCAGAATATTTATGTCAATAACTCCTGATTTGGGGGTATTTCTAGATGTGTAAAAATAAAAAAA